CACATCAGTAGTTATATCAGATCAATATGTCTTTTCAGAGTTATTAACCAACTTCCAGGGGCAATTCTTATCATTTTCCAACATAAGGGTAATTTCGTAATTTTACCATATCGGAGTATTCTCATAATTTTTCATCCAAGTATCTTTAACATTTAACCCTTGATGATATAAAATATAAGTTACAAATCCAGAGCTGATTTCTTTATCACCAATCACAAACTTGTAATTTAATTCTAACAATTATCAATCTCTTATCTTAGTCATTCGATCCGTATTCAGTTACAGAATTTCTACCACATTCATATCGAGTGAATAAATTATTCAACTCCACAAAAGTGACCAACATTATCTTATTCATGCATTTACCAATATCAACATGTTCCATAAAGCATAAAGAGGTAGTAAAGTATTACCTCGATTTCCGTGCAATACCGATCGACCATAAAAATTCCATTCGAATGCCTTTGATCTTCAATTCAACTTCAAATAATTCCTCAGATACATATCAACATAAATTATATCAGAAACGGAGCTTAATTGCGATAAACGGATCAAATCGGGTGATAAATCAGTGAAAGACGGCTTACCGGGTTCGAATTTGGCGAAACGGACTTCGGATTCGGATTCAGGACGTCAAAAGCATAAAATGTGACTTTTCGGAAATTTGGAATTTTCAGTCAAAATCAAAGTCAACGGGTGTGACCGGATATTTCGAGGCCTTTGGGTTCTAATTTTGAAAAACGAACAGCGGAATCGGATTTGGAACGTCGAAAAATGTCAGGATAGGTATACTCGGTCGAAGTCAAAGGTCGTTTAATGCCCGGTCAAAGCCAGTCAAAGTTTTGGTCAACAGTGGTCAACGACGGTCAACGGGTCAACGTGTCGAGTCAACGGGTCGGGTCGGGTCAACGGGTCGGGTCGGGTTGTGACCGGTCAAACCGGTCAACTATGCACCAAAACCGGTCAAACCGGTCATTTTTTCCCCACGCGCAGTGGCGGTGCGTGGGGGCGCGTGAACAGTGCTAAAATCCCGGAAAAATTTCTAAAAATTATTTTGAGCGATTTCGAGATACTTACAAAGCTCGGTTCACAATTTTGAACGGCGGAGAGCTCGATTTCAACGAATCGGAAACTTTGACCGCTTCACCTCCTCACGCGCCGTCGTCGACGGAGACCAAGGATGACACCGGCAAACTCGGAACGATGCAACGAACACGATGGTGCGGGAGGTGTCGTAAACGGATGACCCGATCGTCGTAAATCGATGAAAAACCAACTAAAACCGAGTTATTACCGACGATACTTCCGACTGAAATTCACGACGAACGGCGATGATTCACGACGAAAGGTTTGAGGGGTTTTGTTCCTCGATTGACAACGAACACGATGGTGGTTTCGGCTCGTTGTTTGGAGGTCGGACGGCGAGTAGATCGGAGTTGGAAGTTGGGTCAACGGAAGAGAAAAACTGGAAAATTATACATTCTGCAGCACGGGGAGGGGGTTATAAATTCTCTCATAAAGGAAATTGGCTAAACCAAGAGTTTAGTCACTGAACTTCCTACACTTCTTAAAACGGTCTGCTAACTTTGAAATCTTACAATTTAATCCCTGATTCCTTCCAAAAATACCAATTAAATCCACCACTTTATAATTTCTTAAATTTAGCCCCTAAATTGGGGTGTTACACATCCGGTTCGGAAAATATAAATACAGGCCTCGTGGTTAATATAGAAGTTGATAGGCTGATCATTGAGTTAAAAGAACACAAACCACATCCTAGAGCAAATCTAGGCAATGGTTGTAATCAATGTCTCACTCGTTGCAGGTTAATCAAATGGTTGTTGTAATTTATCGGCAAATTAGATAGTTTCTCGACATAGACCTTTTGAGCTGCAACAGTTTGAAATGTAGTCTTTGCAATTTCCGCAGGTGAGACTTGTGCAGATGGTGAATGAGGCTACGGCAAATATTCCCAATTGGAACACACTTTAAACTGTGGCCAAGACATAATCTAATCAGTTTGTGCATCCATTCCAATGCTGATATCAATCTCCTTCCAACGAGACTTATCAGAATGAAATAGAGGTAGCCGAGACACCAGTATCCAGAGAGAAAAGGGTTGTTTACAAGTTAACGAGGGATTTTTCCTTTTTTACACCTTTATTAAACATAAAAAGCATTGAATTCCATTTTTTTTCATGTTATCTATAAGTATGATGTCTATTTATCTAATTTTTCTCGTAAAGTTTTGCAACTGTAAACCAAATGTTGGAGATACAAATCAATGAGCGATGAAAATCTTTTTCGCCGGGTAAAATAAGGTATGGGGCCATGATATTAGGCTTGTTTCACCATGTTACTTGGGTGTTAGAGAAGAAATGCTGAAAATGTTCATTTTCTTTTAGCCATTGCTACTTAGGTAAGCTTTTATGCATATATATATATCTGATCATGCTGAAAAGAGAGAGCTAATTTTGACACATATTATATCATATACTTAAGATTAGGCCAAAAGCATTTTTTCACATCAAGCTTTTTAAAAACATTTTGCATAACTCTTAGTATGTTATCATAGTACATTGCATTATTTGGGTTAGAATTCGACCTACTTCATGAACATATTAATTCAATTTCAATAGACATGGTCACGGTGTTAGTATGATCAACTCCAAATCAAGAAGCAGTAAATGAGCAATCAAGCAAAATTACCAGGCATACATACTTACATATCGATCTCACACAAAATGACCTGTCCAGACTGTTCTTGAAACTGCTGGTTTCCGTTCATGAATCGACGATGCTGCAGCTTCTGTTCTAAGTTGATTTTTCATGCACAAGAGTATAGTTTTCTGCTTTTCCATCTGGAACTGCACTGGTGGCTGTTTTCCAGGTAAAGGAAAGCCTATCGTCCCTGTCAAAGCCATTGCTGATGTTATTGACATTCATGGAATCTGAATGAGATGCATAATTGGCACAACAATCAAACCCAGTCTTTCAATGATTGTCGGGAAACCAAAAAGAAACAAATGCTTGCCGGGAATTAGAGGATACAAAAAAAAAAAAAACCCGATATATTAATAAAGAATAGCTAGTGCTATCAAGCCTCGTATGTAGTCTAGTTGGTCAGGATACTTAGCACGATTCGAAAGTTTATTGAGTTTAAAATTTTCAAGTTCCACTTGAAATCAAAAATTGAAATTCGATTTAGACTTAACTCGAACTTTAAGTACATGAAAGTTTTATTAAATTTTTAAAAGTTAATATATAAATGTTAATATTATTAATAATTTAATTTAATAAACTTAAAACTTTAATATATATTTTTTCCCGAATAGTTCGAGACTTTTTTGAGTCGAATATTAAGTAGATTGTTTTGGCTCGTTAAAAGTTTGAGCTCGACTTGAGTCTATTCGATTTGAATATTAATTGAATTTGACCGAGTTAATCTCGAATAACTCGTGATATGTCTCGTCTTATTTATAACACTAACATAGTACATCTTGTTCAATCAATTTTGCAAGATCAGCTGGGGCTACATCAAAAAGAATTTCACCCACAAGTTGATCACGGCTCATCACCACCATAGCATCAACAATTTGGTTATTTCTTGCTTGCTCATGGTTGCATCTGCAGTAAAATTTCCTTGCAGTAAAATCTTAAAAGATGAATTTTAATTATAAAAAATCTCTGGGTTAATGTCAATATGTATGATCATAATTATCATCTTAACAATAAAATAATGAAGTGGCGAAAGATTTCTATTTTGGTATTTTTTTTCCTTTTGAAGATTTTTTTTGGATATACGAGATGAATATTAGGTAATATATGTTAATTGTTTTTAATTATTTAATAATTAATGTTCGATGGGCCTGAATCTGACGGGTTCTGATCCGATTCTATCTGATTAGGTCGGATTTTTTAAAAAAAATTCAAGTTCGGGTCGGGTCGGGTTTGGATTTAGTGTGAGAAATACTCGATCCGATCCGACCCGACCCGAAAAAATTAATTTTACCTTATATATTTAGGAATAAGTATAATTATAGCCCTCTATATATTATTTTTTTCAATTAAGTCATTATTTTTATTGAATAAAAATATTTTTTAATTATTTCGGATCCGGTCGGGTTTTTAAGTTATATATCGGGTCGGGTCGGATCGGATCGGGTCTCGGATGGAGGACTCATTGTTCTCGGGTCGGGTCGGGTGGACAAAAAACCCGACTCATGCCCATCCCTATTCATATCCCCATGTTAAGGCATAAATACAAAATTGGCCCTTAAATTATTTAAATTGTATCAGTTTGACTTTTAATTGTTTATCTTGAGTAATCGATTCCTAATTGATTTTGTTTAAATTTACTGGATATGCATTAAACTAAAAAAGAATTTAACGTCCAAAATAAAAGAGTAAAAAGTTTTCCAATTAATTTTAATTCTTGATGACGTTAAATAATAAAGATATTTATTTCTGTCATAATTAATTTTATTTTAAATTAATTAATTTTAATAATAAATAAATGAGTAAAGAATTTGAGATATCGATTCCTAATTGATTTTGTTTTCAGATTGAGCTGACGTCTTTCCAAGAAAGTGAAAATCAAGCTTAAGCTAGATCTAATCCATCTATATAATTACTATTTTTTATAATAAATAAGTGATTAATTAAGCAAATAATTTAATAAGATAAAAGCAAGTGGAGCTAGAGAGTTCATATATATATATATATATATATATATATATACAGTCCAACTATAACATGCATACAAGTTGATTATTTTCTTAATTCTTAAACAAAATAAACAAGTTTTAATTTTCTTTAATTAATATAAGATATTCAAAAATAATTCTGAATTATTTTGATATAAAAATTATTTATTTTAGTTTGGTTTAATTCTAAAATTTTAATTCCGACAATGATTTGTCATTTCCATAGCCGCTATAAAGGTTTTGCATAACATTTCCCCCTCTCTTTATCTCCTCTCTCTCTATCGGCGGCAACAATAAACTAGAGCTTGCAAAAGCTCACCAAATTACTCTTTATCGTCTAGTAATATAATTTCTTTCCACATTTGATTTCTAGTTTTACTTGAAAATCAGTCGACATGGCTTTGTATTTTCGCCGTTTAACGGCCGGTCCAACGATACCCGACGTTCCGGCTCAATATCGGAAGTTTAATCCGACGGTCGAGATTCCTGCTTTCCCTCTGCTGCCTTACAATAAATACCGGTCGCTAGGAATCTCTCTGAGGTCGAGAAAGCATTGGTTAGTGGAGGCGGTAGGGCCGACAGGAAGACCGGAGGGCGGAGATGGCGCGAAGAAGGCGGCAGTGGGACAAGGGCCAGGCGCGTGCTCGTATTCATTGGGTGATCGAAGGGTGGGAGAGCGGACGACGGAGATAGAGAGGAATCGGAAGGTGGAGGTGGTGATTGCAGCGGGGGTGACGGTGGTGTTGGGAGTAGGGAATCGAGTGCTTTATAAGCTGGCTTTGGTACCTCTCAAGCATTACCCATTTTTTCTGGCTCAGCTCGCCACATTCGGGTACCGATAAAACCAACTCAATATCGCTTTTACTTATTTTTTAAACTTGTTTGTTATCTCATTTTAAAGTTGTATTACTGTGCGACTATCAGAGCTTTTTCCGCTAAGAAATTTTTGGAAAAGTTAAATTTAAATTAAATCATATAAAATGTCATAAAATTATACAAATTATTATGTAAAATATTACTAGTAATCTATATAATCTATAACTTTTTCTTTAAATTTACCTCTTTCTAAATTCCTTAGCCCTATAGCTACATTTCTTAGTCATTTCAATTGTGATAAATTTCTGAACTTATTTTTACCCATTTCTCGTGGGTAGTTCTGCCGTAAAACTTTTTTTTTTCTCGTGGCATGTAAAAGATCTGTCTCACCTGTTTTTTAGTTCCTATTTGTAAGCCACATTGAAAATAACTCTGTTTTAGCAAGTTATCAAAACAAGAAAAAACGTTGGGTATTTTAGCACTTGAAGGTTGTTTTGATTTATTATTAATATTGTTGTTGTGATTTATTTTATTCATATAGCAGCCTTAGGAAAAGAAACCTTTCAATAAAGATGGCTGAGGATATGACGAATATTTTATAGCCAAAACTAGGCTGCTTTTGGCTTCTGCTCGGTTTGAGGTGGCCAAAAGCTTTAATGGGATTGTCATATGGTAAAGCGTGCCGTGTCCAAAACCAATGTTCCCGATTCATCTGCGCTTCAAAGTCCACGTTTTGCTTTGGTAAAAAAGTCACCGTCCCATCAAAAGATATATGATAAAGAATCAATTTTTTTTTTGAAAATTTAAGTTTTAATATTTTTAAGTTTTATAATTATTGAATTTATATATTAAAAATTATTTGATAAATTAATAAAAAAAAATAAGTATAGAATATAAATATTTTATTTAATAAAAGTAAAATTTTTAAATTGATTTCTTAATTTTAATTTTTGTTAATATAATATATTATATCATTTTTGGATGGTTTTAGTTAAAAGTTGAATATAATATTTTTAAAAAGTTAAATGTATATTTTTAAAAATAACTTAACTTCCTCAAATTAATTGATAAGTCATAAGTGGCTATATGCCTTCCTATTTTAGTATTCACTTTTTTTTTTCAAGATTTTCTATAAGTAAACAATTAATATGATTGTGAAACACAGTTGAATTATTACATGTTAAAAACTTTCAATGATTTATCATAGTCTTAGTATAATATTTGATATTTTAGATATATGTGAGAAAATGAGACTTGCATCATTATGAAAATTGAATAGAAAATCGTAGATTAAATTATTAATCATGATTAAACATCTTAGTGTGAAGTTTTTGGTTGGATAAAAGAATACTACTTGAGCCACTTTACCAAGTTGTGTTATGAAATTTTCTTCTTTTATATTCACTAAATGCCCAAGGCATATTGTGAAATTATATAATCTAGGATGCTTTTTCAGTTACATCATTAGTGACTTAAATGACTCTCTTGGTAAATCATTGAGATGTTGCCTTTTAATTATAACCATTTAAATTGATCAGGGAATATTCTTTTTAAGAGCAATGATGAGTTTAGCTTTGGAATATATATTATGTGTGGGGCGATAAAGGATTGCATGATTGACCCGCTTGTGCACGGCTTTGGTTTGTTCATAAGGAGATGTTAGAGGGACTCTTACTACTTTTAGCTGGTTGTCAAAGCTTGGAAAGATCTTGTGAAACTAATATGATTTATATTTATATGCGAATTTCGAAAGACAACCTCTGATTTTTTAAGAATATTATTTTAGAATATGAGTGTTAGATATGCTTTTTGTGGCATCTTTTGTGCTTTCTTCAAGTTTTCTTATTCTTAGTCTTCTTATTTTGTGTAAATATTGAAGTTGATCGGATAAAAAAATCCATAAATTGAGAGGAACAAAATAGAATTTACAAGGAAATGATTAGGTCATTTTGATATTTACAAGTGGTGATCAAATGGAACAAAATCCATAGATGATAGATGGAATAATAATTAGTCAAAAACAAATAGTGAGGAGAGAATCGAAAAAAGGTCGTGCAAGATCACTCTTTGGTTTCCATTCTAGAAAATGGTTCAAGTAAATTATATGAAAAGCCTTATAGTTTGATGATTGTTACAGATTGACTCTTAAAATTTTGAAGTTGTTGTTAAAACCTTAAACCCTTGATAATTGACAATGTTAACGGATTGATTAAAGAGAAATACCTCTCTCACTGTCTCACACTTGATTTCATCTTTTCCAGGTATGTACTTGTATACTTTTCTATATTGTATTTCCGGTATCATGCTGGTATAGTTACAGACGAGATGCTTTCCGTGCCAAAAGCTCCATTGCTTGGTGTTGGCCTTTTGGAGGCTCTTGCCGCTGCGACTGGAATGGCAGCTGGAGGTTAGCTCATACTCGGATGTCTTTGAATGTTTTCTCCTTTCACACACTGATATTTCTAGGACATCTTTGTGTCGTGATTCTAAAGTATGCCTCTGTACAAAATGATTTCACTAAGGGAGGGTCATCTATTTTATTTTATTTCTATTTTTTATTAGGTCTCTTTCCCATTGGGATCTTTTTGCCTCTTGACGGTTGTTTACTAATGTAGGTTTTAGAAATTATTAGAGTTTTCAGAAAATTCTAGTTACTCCATGCTGATTTCTTAATATTGTATAAATGTTTCTATTTCCTGCTAGTCTGTAAGTTTCAGTTCTTCATCGAGTATTCACATTTTTGTGAAATGCCTTTAGTTCAGTGGCTCTCAGGTTTTTGTCACCCTGTATGAAAGTATGTCCCTCTATTTATTATCTTCTCAATTTGTGTTGAATTAAACATGAATTTATTGGAGGAAATGGAAGAGTATTATTTTGAACTTTTTGTTATTATTATATTATTTCTAATACATTTTTCTCAATCTTTGTTCAGCAATTCTATCTGGGGCTTCTATTCCAATTTTATCTCAGGCAAGAAACATTTATTGCTATTGTTTGATGTTAAATATAACTGTCATAGTGTCTGTGTTAGGCCATTTTTTTCCATTTTCTTTTTCATTGTTTACTGGTGTCGCCAAAATTTCTTTATTTGAAGGCTGATATATACAACCAAAAAAGTGGAATGATTCTGCAGATTGCCCTTTCTATTTGGGTTGTATTGTAATGGTTTTTTGAGCTCCAAAACTTATGTAAGGGTTTGTTAAAGAATATAACTGGATGAGCTTCAACTATCACACAATTCAATACATGTCCAAAGTTATTGGCCGGAAATGCTTTCAAAACAAAGCATATTTACATTTTATATTCATCTGAAACAATACTTGATGTAATTATAATTATTTGATAAGTTTCTTATTTTTTTGGTGGTTATTATCAAGCTTATTAGAGATTGTGACAGCAACCTTTCTTATGTATAAGCTCTGACTAGCTACTTTGGTCTATATCTTCAACAGACATCTCTTGTGTGGCAAATTTTCCTGTCCATGATCTTTCTTGGGAGGAGATATAGAGTAAATCAACTACTTGGATGCTTTCTTGTAGCTGTTGGTGTAGTCATAACCGTAGCAAGGTAACCTATGACTGTTTTGAGTTTTAATCTTCTGTTGCTAGATTTATTAATTTTGGTGGTGCATCTTCTAGATAACTTCCGAACGGCCTGGTTTATAGAGGGCTTTGAAACCGAGTGAGGGCCAAAAACTAGCAGATAAAATCTGACAAAGTTCTCGAAACTTAACCTATCATATTGCTGTTTCTAGTTTTTTTTATAACAGTAAATCTCATTAAAAGTAGCATGCTCTTCCTGGTCTAGCTGCATTGTGAGAGATTTGTATAAAAGCTTCAGCCTTCAAAGCTCCTGTAAGATGATTATAATAGAATAATAAAACCATTTTAAAAGTGAAAACTGAGATATATGAACATCCCCATCATCTTCTTGTATGGCCACCTTGCAAGTAGCATGTCTCTGTTTTACCTTGCAGTCCAACCATTACAGCTTTGTAAATGACTTTCTCCTGGTATTGTGAGTGTTGATTGCTTACTTCCTCCGTTCAGGCCAGATGAACTTGTCAATAGTATTTCTTTTAGAATCTCAACTACTTCGTATTTTCACTGTTATCTTCCATACAAATCTATAATGTTGAAGGCAAAGCTATATTGCAGTTTCAGCATAATTTAGATTTAATTCAAATGATACAGAAATAATTTTATCAGTTTCAGTCATGGTGATTTGAGACAACGGAGCTACCTTTTTATAATGTGTAATTTGAGAATTTGGTTTTTCGCCCGTGTTTACATCTGCAGTGGGTCCAGCAGTGGTTATTCATTGAAGGAGGCTAGCATATTTTGGAGTTTATTGATGATATTTTCGTTTTTATTGCAAGCAGCTGATACTGTTTTGAAGGTTTTTGACTTTCTTATTGTCATCTAACTAGTCATAACCAAGTTCTAGTATAAAGCATTCATCTAAAAGGTGGTATTTTAATCATTTGCAGGAAGTAATCTTTTTGGATGCTGCAAAGCGATTAAAGGTACGATGTTTACTGTTGGAAAGTTTCTTATATCTCGTTGGTCAAATTGAGCATAGGAAGTTGAGAGATATTTATGTGAGTTTCTTCATTGCATTAAAGATCATTTTGTCATATTTGTTGCAGTGTGGTTCAGTAGATCTATTTGTTGTAAATTCCTATGGATCTGCATTTCAAGTAAGTACCGTGTACCGTATAGTTTTAGGTTATGTGCAATTTTTATTCGCAATCTCCTCTTTAATATTCTTTTTCTATGATGGCATCTTTCTTGTATGTTGATGTGATATACTCTGTTTAGTGCAGGCACTGTTCATTTTCCTACTTCTACCCTTTTTATCAAAACTTTGGGGCATCCCATTTAGCCAGCTTCCAAACTATCTTAAAGATGGTGCAGCTTGCTTCTTGAACATAGGTGGCACTTTATCCAGTGGTAAGCCATAATTAAGACACTTTTATAAAATTTTACTAGATTCTTGCAATAGTAGAGGACCTGGATTGCACCGATGAGCTCAAATACATTATGAAAGAATGGAAGTTCTATTTGTCAGTTGTTACGTATAGAGTTGGCTTGCTATTGAGATTAACCATTCTGTTTTTACATAACTGCTCTATGCTGTGACTGAATCGTGTCTCGAATGGAGCAAGTAATTGATTTAGTTTTGTCAGAAATTAAATCCCTAAATTAAGTAAATTATGATTTGTGGATGTATTTTATTAGTTAGGATCTCTAACTTTAAGGAATTATATTTATTCCTAAAATTAGTCACTTGCCTAATTTAACAGTTTCCTAAGTTAAAGCAGTAGTTTGTATATTTAATTATGTAATTCTCCTACATGAAAATATAAAAGTGAATTACATAAACCTCTTGATTTTGACATGGTATCAGAGCTATAGGCTCTCCATTTTTGGGTCATGTTATCTCTGTTTAGCCGCACCACTTAACCCTTGTCTTCCCTTTAGAGTGTGAGGTATCTATCCAACAAAAATATAGGTGAAGTGGCTACTGATTCTAGCAGTACTGAAACTTTTCAAGGAGGTACTATGAGTGAGGGAAGTCACCTTAATTCAATTAGTAACTTGCAAAACATATAAACCGGGCTATGACTCTAGTGGACCAGATAGAGTCGTGAATACCCAACCATTATCTCTCTTATCAGAATCTACAGCCAATAAAGACCAAATCTGGCTACATTTTCGCCTTGGTCACCCACCTTTTAAAGTTTTAAAGATTATGTTTTTCTCTTTGTTTAAATCCTTAAAATTTGAAGAATTTCATTGTGAAGTATGTGAACTTGCAAAACATAAATGTTCTTCTTTCCCAGCAAGCAATAAAAAGACTACCAATCCTTTTACTCTTATTTACAGTGATGTTTGAGGGCCTTCTACTATTTCTAACATAATTGGGGCTAGGTGGTCTTGAATAAGATCTTATATGGACTAAAACAGTCCCCAAGAGCTTGGTTTGGGAGGTTCACTAAAGTGATGTTGAGTCAAGGTTTTAAACAGAGCCAAGGTGACCACACTCTGTTTGTGAAACACTCTTCTTCAGGAGGAGTGATTGCACTTTTGGTATATGTAGATAACATGATTGTTACATGAAATGATTTTGAAGGAATTGGCAGTCTAAAGAAGTGTCTTATAAAGGAGTTTGAAGTGAAGGAACTTGGAAGATTAAAATACTTCCTTGGTATTGAAATGGCACACTCACAGCAAGAGATTTTTTATATCTCAACAAAAGTATACTCTGGATTTATTGAAGGAGACTGAAAAACTAAGGTGTAAACCAGCAGAAACTCCAATAGAAGTCAATCACAAGCTTAGAGATTTAGGCACTTGATAAAAGTTCATTTCAAAGACTTGTGGGAAGACTTATTTATTTGTCTCACACCAGACCAGACATAGCATATGTTGTTGGAGTTGTGAGTCAGTTCATGCATAGTCCTAAAGAATCACGTCTAAGGGTTGTGACTTAAATTCTGCGATACTTGAAGGGTAGACCGGGCAAAAGAATTATGTTTAAAAGAGGAGGAAATTTGACACTGAAAACATGCACTAATACAGATTATGTAGGGTTCATAGTTGATAGAAGGTCGACCTCAGGGTATTGCACTTTCTTTGGAGGGAACTTAGTTACTTAGAGGAGCAAAAAACATAATGTTGTGGCTAGATTCAGTGCAGAAGCTGAATTTCGAGCTATGACTCTGGGAATTTGTGAGTTATTATGGCAGAAGATTATTTTAGAGGATTTGAAGGTCAAATGAAATGGACCAATGAAGTTATACTGTGATAACAAGTCAGCAATTAATATTGCTCATAATCCAATTCAACGTGATAGAACAAAACATGTTGAAGTGGATAGGCATTTGATGAAAGAGAAACTTGACAGTGACCTGATTTGTACTCCCGTTGTGATCACTGGAGATCAAGTTGTAGATATACTTACCAAGGGACTACCTGGTAAGTATTTTTAGAAGTTGACAGGCAAACTCAGGATAGAAGACATCCATGCCCCAGTTTGATGGGAGTGTCACAAATTAGATCCCTAAATTAAGTAGATTATGTAATATGGTAGGATATTTGTGGATGCATTTTATTAGTTAGGATCCCTAACTTTAAGAAATTATATTTATTCCTAAAATCAGTCACTTATCTAGTTTAGCAGTCCTAAGTTAAGGCAGTTGTTTGTATGTTTAATTGTATAATTCTCATAAAAATATAAGAGTGAATTATAGAAACCTCTTGACTTTGACAAGTTTCACTGAAATTCCGTTGGCCGTAGGATGTGATGGTGCACCGCTACTTCCCTTGCTCTTTGTTATTGTCAACATGGGTTTCAACATATCATTGCTGCATCTTCTCAAGATCTCTTCCGGTGTGGTTTCTTCACTTGCGTCAACTTTTTCGGGTATGTCTTTGTATCCTTTTCAACATCCAGTTCAAGTAATTAATTTCATCGAAAGCTGTACTTAACATGCATGCACACACAAACATATGCACACCCTGGAAAACACAATTGAGTTTATAATAATCCGCTTTCCGTTCATCTAATTGCAGTGCCTATTTCAGTCTACGTGTTCACGTTGCCGCTGCCGTATCTCGGTGTAGCGTCATCGCTTCCAACTGGTTTCGTAGCAGGAGCAATCATCCTAGTGTTGGGGTTGCTTATCTATTCCTGGTCACCGTCTGGTTCACCCACGGCGTTACCCTCACCCTCTAGATAGAATGTGATAATTTACTCATCGTCAAGAACAAAATGAAACCAATAATATTGCACCATATCAAGTAAAAGCAGAGCAAGGCTGGCCCCTGCAATTGAGTGAATTAGGGTAAGAGGAAATGTCGATCCTTTGTTCTAAAACGTTGGATTCCTTATTGTGCATATGATCCTTGTATGCGTTCCCATTGAGATTGTCTTCACAGATCGTCACCAGGGTCGACAAATGAATTGAATTGCTCGAATCTTGAATGAGATAATTTGAGAAATTTTGGTACGTTCCTTGCGTTTATGTTAATGTGATATATGTGAGATGTAAGTTCGTAGGGTGGTAGGTTGAAACAACTTATGTCTCATTAGTATACTTAATGGGACCTCTATATACGGGGTTAAACACCATAGTTGAGAGCATGTCTTGTGGTTCAAATCACTGATGGATGTTTGCCCGTTAAAGATGTCATCTCTACCAACTTGAACCTCCTGTATTAACATTAACAAACTCATCATACATCTCATACTCGATGACCATTTGTAGTGAGATTGGTATCAAAACATTGACATTTCATTTTTTTTTGTTGTATATGATTGATTTTCTATAAAATTCACTTAAGATCGATAAAAATTCGTATAAAATGATTGCACAATAATATAGACATTGAAGTTTTATGCGAAAAATTATTTTGGGAAAAATCATAGGTAGAAGAAGAAAATTTTCACTAATATCGAAAATAGTAGGATATAAGAGAATTTTCAAAAATAAATTTTCAAACTCAATCTCCAGTATCCATTCATAAGAGTAATTACTTGGTTACAAAATAATATATTTAATAGAAATGTATTTAAATTATATTTTTTACTTTTAATCAACATAGAAGTAAATATGTTACTTTCAATCAAAATAAATTTTTATTTCTTAATTTTATATTTTAATTAATTTTTAAATTAAATTGAACTATAATCGAATTCTAGTAAAAACTGTTATATTAATATGTGATTTTAAATCTGATATCTTAATATTTTGATTGATCTCAAAATTAAAGTTTAATGGTTATATTATAAGTTTTTTTTATAACGTTATATCATAAATTAAAATTGTTATAAAACCGAAACTTTAATAGCTAAAGGTATTAAAAAAAAGGGTATAAATTATACTTAATTTTACGATTGTAAGAAAAAAGTACTAATAAAATAACGTTCAGCGAAATAAATCTGAAGGTGGTCGTCGCTAGGGGTGTAAACGAGTCGAGTCGAGCTTGAGTATTGTTGAGCTCGACTCGACTCGAAAACTCTGAAATGGAGCTCGACTCGAAAACTCGCGAACTTAAAATTTTCAAACTTGACTCGAACTCGAAATCCTGAACTAAAGCTCGTGAGTAGCTCGAAAAGGCTCGAAATGAAAAAAAAATTCTTAAACTTAACTCGATTTGAAGTCTCAAACTCAAATTCGAACATGAACATTAAATACATGAAATCTTACTATATTTTTAGAAAAAAATCAATACATAAATATTAATATTATTATTAATTTATTTTTTTAAATAAAATCTTAATATATTATATTTTCGAGCTGTTCACGAGCTTTTCGAGTCGAATATCGAGTAGCTCATTTCAGCTCGTTAAGAACTCGAGTCGAGCTCGAGTCGAGTCTATTCGATCCGAGTATTTATCGAGCCTTGATCAAGTTGATCTCGAATAGCTCGCGATCTGTCTCGTCTCATTTACAGCCCTAGTCGTCGCCACCAGAGCTGGGTATATGGGCTAAGGCCCGCGGGTTACCAGTTTAATCGGGTTTTGGACATCAAAAACTGAAGCTCGTTTAAATTGCGGGCTTTTTAGCCCGGACCGTTAAACCCGTGAGTTTAATGGGTATAACCGCGGGTAGCACGCGAAGCCCGCAATAGCCAGCTTAATTTAAAATTTATAAATTTTAGATAAAATAAACTTAAAGAATTTTATAAAAAAAAAGAAAATAAATTACCTATAAATATGATGTTACTTATAATCATTATAGTTCTTAAATTTATTAGGGCATTTGTCATAATTCTACCATTGTTTGATATTTTTTTCATTTACAATGTATCAAATTATTCTTCATTTTAAAAAATAAAAATTAAAAGATTTATATAGCATTTTAGTCTTATAAAATTTACATCATTATCACTTTGGTATTTAAAGATTTTTTTAATTTAATTTTGATTTTTTTTTTTCATGAAGTATGTTATTCATTTCGTTTTTTAATTATAAAAAGTCACGTAATATTCTAATAAGATATCACATTATACATAATATTTGGATTAAAAATAAGAAAGAAAAGTAAAAGAAAAATTGAAAACATACTTTTCAACTTTTAAAGGATTTTACAAAAGAAAAATTGTTAGATTTGTATAATGTTTGACTTTATTAAATTTTTCTATTTGAATTTCTCCTTGCAGACACTTCCGTGTCTTCATCATATTATAGCCTTGAATAATCGTGTTTTATAAAAGTATAATGTGGTTATTGTTTTATTTGTTTTTCAATTTGGTGATATAAATGAATATTGTTTTTTTAATTTAAGTTTAAGTAATTATATCGTTATATATATATATTAATGATTAAAAAATTAAAAAAAATATTATTTTATAATCATTTCCAATTATTTAAAATAAAATTTAAATATTATTTATTATTTTGACGGTGTTATCTTCCTTTTCAAGTTATTGAATCATTTTTAAAGGTGTAGTAAGTTAAAATATTATTTTTTATTTTATTTAAAGCATTTAAAATTATTTTTATTTAACGGGTCGCGTGTAAACCCGTTTAACCCGCGAATTAAATGAACGGGCCACGAGCCTTAGAATTCAAAACCGTTTTAACCCGCTACGTAAGCCCGCACCGCCAAAAACCTGTTGGCTAAACGGGCGGATAGCCGTATCCCACCTCTAGCCGCCACTCCATTTCCCCCTTCGAGCTATCGGTGAGAACAATTTCGAGGAAATATAAATCCTTTTCTCACTGTTCTCGTGTTCTTAGTTTTCAAGATCCCTTTACTTCAATATTTGGTTTTGTTCTTATTCTCTCTTCAGATATTGAAGATTCACTTCGGCTTTCTCTTTTTCTGTTTTGCTCCTTCAGTTCAGCTAATAGGTGCGTTGCTACAAACGCCGCTGCTTTATTTTTTCTGGAGATTTGCGTTTGTTTGGTTTTTTATTTCGATGATCTAAAATTTGAATTTCTGATTAGATTTATTCAATTGCTTCTTTTATTTATTTTTATTTTCTGAATTGTTAATTTGATAAATTTAGGGTATCTGATCTTTGAACCTATGTTGTTTGGCTGACAAGAAGAAAAAAAAACTTGAGACGCCTTTACTTGATTCTTGTTTATACTTTCAATATTGGATTGATTCGGATAGCTATGAACTAAAGCAGAGCATGATTTTAGATAAACCTACTTATTATTATTATTATTTAATTTTCAAGTGTTGTATGTGATTGCAGTAAGCTAGCATGCAGATTTATGTATTCTGATTGCGGAATTTCATGTTCAAATATTGTACAAAGAAGCTAATTTGGAGACTTTGCACTTGTTGATGCTAATTGGAATTTAAGAATACCGCTAGGTATATTACTTATAGGCTTCTGGGTTTGAGGAATTTTTTAGTCGACCTGTTAGAATCAAATAAGAAGATTCCTTTTAACTTATAAGCAACTCAAAAGCAAGAAAAAATGTTAATATTATAGCGTTTGAATGGCAAATCCATAGTTTTTTTCTTCTTTAAAATTAGCAGTGAGATAGAAAGAAAGGGTAAAGTAGTCCAATAAGCATAGATTAGTCAATGGTGCTAGATTTATATACTTCTTTAATAAAATATCATTCCACTTTGTATTAATAGCTTTTTTTTCTTCCAACTTTTGAGGAACCAAAAGGAAAATAGTAAAAGGCATAAAAACAATTATAGACTTCAGTTTGAGATTATTTGATCTTTTCTTTTTTGATTCATGTTGATCTGAGCAGGGCAATTGTTGCAATGGGCAAGAAAAAACAGGAGGACAGTGGTGCTACTGCAAAAGTTAAGGGAAGTAGCAAAGATGTGAAAAAAGAGAAGCTCTCTGTTTCGGCTATGCTTGCCAGCATGGACCAGAAACCTGATAAACCAAAGAAGGCGGTCCCCTCTTTTAGTTCTACCTCTGCAAAACTCAAGGCAAAGGGCCCAAAGGTTTCATCTTATACTGATGGGATTGATCTCCCACCGTCTGACGAGGAGGAGGAGGAATATGCTTCTGAGGAAGAGCAAAATCAGTCTAATAGACACCAGAGGCAGGACTTCAGGCCACTTGATACCTCTGTAAGTGAAAAGGAACAGAAGAAGCGTGAAAAGAAGGAAATGCTTGCTGCCCAAGCTGCTGAGCACGCTAAACAGGAGGCCCTTAGAGATGATCACGATGCCTTCACGGTGGTTATTGGAAGTCGGGCTTCTGTCCTTGACGGTGACGATGAAGCAGATGCTAATGTCAAAGACATAACCATAGACAATTTCTCTGTTTCAGCTCGTGGGAAAGAGCTTCTAAAGAATGCCTCAGTTAAGATATCACACGGTAGAAGATACGGTTTAGTTGGACCGAATGGGATGGGAAAATCTACCTTGCTAAAGCTTCTTGCTTGGAGGAAAATTCCAGTTCCAAAAAATATTGATGTGCTTTTGGTTGAACAGGAGGTGGTTGGTGATGATAGAACTGCCCTTCAGGCAGTTGTTTCTGCAAATGAAGAGCTACTTAGGGTTCGAGAAGAAGTTGCAGCCTTACAAAATGCGTCTTCTGCTCCTGGAGGAGAGGATGACAGCAATCTAAATGGGGATGATGCAGGAGAAAGGCTTGCAGAGCTGTATGATAAGCTGCAGATTTTGGGTTCAGATGCTGCTGAAGCTCAGGCATCAAAGATTCTTGCTGGATTGGGTTTCACCAAAGAAATGCAAGTTCGTCCTACTCGATCATTTAGTGGTGGCTGGAGGATGAGAATATCTCTAGCTAGGGCTCTTTTTGTGCAGCCAACGCTTCTCTTATTGGATGAACCAACTAACCACCTTGACCTTAGAGCTGTTCTTTGGTTGGAGGAATATTTATACCGCTGGAAGAAAACATTGGTGGTTGTTTCTCATGATCGAGATTTTCTTAATACCGTTTGCACTGAAATTATTCATCTCCATGATCTCAAGCTCCAGTTTTACCGTGGAAATTTTGATGACTTCGAATCAGGGTATGAACAGCGTCGTAAAGAGATGAATAAGAAGTTTGAAATTTATGAAAAGCAGGTAAAAGCTGCAAAAAGATCTGGGAATCGAGTTCAGCAGGAGAAGGTAAAAGATCGAGCCAAGTTTGCAGCTGCAAAAGAAGCAGCAAAGAACAAGGGAAAGGGCAAGATTGATGAGGATGAAGCTCCAGTTGAGGCTCCAAAGAAGTGGAGAGATTACAGTGTGGAGTTCCACTTCCCTGAGCCTACTGAACTAACTCCACCTCTTCTACAAATAATAAATGTAAGTTTCAGTTATCCAAACCGAGAGGATTTCAGGCTCTCAGATGTTGATTT